AGAGTTTTACAAAATAAGAATGACTCATTAAGAACAAAAATATTCATCATATATTAATAATCACTTGTTCACATACAAGGTCAATCAAAAGAAATACATAAAGCTAAGGTAGACTATCTATACCTTTGATACAAAAGAAATTAGATACCCATAACCATGGTAGATTGCTTTACAAGTAAAGATATAAAATGAATGAGCATTTACGTCGAAGAATAGAACTCGAATACGAATCCAGCTTCTATTTGCAAAATCCCCCTTTTTGGTGAAGAAATGCTGAAAATATAAGTCTCTATGTGAAAATATGGGTTATGATCCCAAAAAGTGTGAAAAGTACTTATATAGAACAACTAAAATCTGTCAAGTTCGCCTAGAGAACTAATTCTTCGCCCAACGGACTTCACTTTATGGCACCTGAAGTGCCACTGAATAGTTAAACCGTTACTAAGGAAATATTTGAGTTTGCCTAGCGAACTATTCTTCACTCTGTGAACTACCTCTCTACAAGTTCGCACAGCGAACTTAACGTCCTTTAGTTACTGCCTAAAAACTGGGGTGTTTCACTAGTCCTTCGTTGCAACCTTGCCTAGTGAACATCCGCTTCAAGTTCGCCCAGCGAACTTAGTGCTCTTTTCTTTCTGCCTCTAAATTGAGAGGGTTCGCTGGGGCTTTGCTGACACTTCGCCCAGCGAATATTCGCTATTGAACCTCACTGGTTGTTCGCCTTGCGAACATGCTAAAATTTCACATTTTCTTTGGCTTCCTTGTCAAATTACTTGTGTCTTACTTCTTTGATAGATTATGCCTAAATCATGCACAATAACACACAAATCAAATCAACCAAAGGTATTTGCACATAATTGAAGAATAGCATGAAAACATAGACTAAATCCAATCAAAATATAACAAATGAGATGAAAAATTCCAAATATAATTGATCAAATTAAAGCATATTTGGAATTCTACATGTGGGCATTTAGTTGAGATAATTTCTCGTCTCTTTGTTACTTATGAGCTAGCATTTTCTGTGTGGTATAGATTTTTTAAGTGGTTGAGGAAGGAGGCATATATTTATCCCTAATGACCATATGGTGTTGTTTTTAGTATTTTTTTTCTTTAGAAGACAAGATTAAGTTTATGTTATCTTTTGATTTGCCACACTGTATTCTAGTCCAATTAGAAAATCCACAATGATGTAATCTTTAAGGGATTCACAAAATCAATGAAAGAGGATGGAGGAGAAGCAAATTTTTCTTGGCCAGGAAATGGTTTCTAGTTAGATTTGGAGTGAACTCTTGCACCATTACTGAATAACTTTAGAACTCTATTCTCTACATGTACCTATAATAAGTTGAATGTTTGCCTTGGTTTCGATATAGGTTGTGGCATTTGATTTTTGAGACTCTTTTGATGAGACCTGCTTTGTTGATGGTGAATCTGGTAGTTTGAGATTTAACATGCTACCAATGAAGTGAATTTTTAGTAGCATGAGCCTTTATCTACGGAGGCCTATTATTCAGTACTGTTGGTTGGAGTCTTCTTGTTGTCTGTTACTTTTTTTTATTGTTTTCTTTGGCCTCTTCTACCGTTTCTGACACTTCTTATATTTTGAAACTATCTATGTAGTATTTTGGTGATTTTTAACCCTATTAATATATTATTTTTACCATTAAAAAATTAATAGAGTACTTTAATCATGATTAACATAAACATAAAATTACAGCTATAATTTGTACCATAACAAATTACGACTACAATATACATTTAGAGCGTCTTCACAGGAGCTTAATCCATTGGTTAGATGGAGAATTACAGACATTGAAAATATTAGAAGAATTGAAAGGCTTGTTACAGTGTACAACAATAATGTACAACAATAATGGATAACATCGTATATGAGAGTCATTTAAAATTAACAATGATTATCGTATTATGATGCATAGTTCAGAGGAAATTGTTCGAATGGTTGTAATTACATAATTATGTTGCTTAGTTGGTTTATTTGTTGCTCGTGTTGTTGTTTTAATTGTTGTAACCAAATGTCTAAATCTTTATAAAAAGAACGTTGTTTTCAATATCAAATTAAATGGGCACATAAAATGAATTATATATAAAAAGCAGTACTATAAGTGGATTCTTTAATCATGTTGTAGAGTTTGCTCCAACATTGAGACAATTTGTACAATTGTGTCTGGCCTAATGGCATGAACTACATAATCTTGCTATTTTTTTCGTCGTATCCATTTCGATTCGATTACACGTGTTGTTAGGGCGATCCTTTTTCTTTCTTCGCATATTTTTGTTATGCCAAACTATACCCCCTTGATATGCAGGATAATAATCCTCATTTGTTACCACCAGAAAGTTATGGTTGTACACATTGCATAAGTTTATGACTTTGTAAACAACAGATAATAGGTTGGAAGGGTCCTGTCGAGCAAGTGAACATGTCGCTAGCTATGACATGGGAGCAAATCATATGAAAGGCTTGGAACTTTCCACAATCACACCAACCTCTATCTAGTTCGACCCGATAGTATTCCTTTGGCCTCCCCTTATTATGGTTCATTGCCTCATCTACACTGAACCAACCTTTACGACAATCAAACATTGTGACCACATGTGTGTTAGCTTTGACAGCTTCCTCCTTAATAAACTTCATAGAAGTTTCACTGAACAGTTGCCCGGATTGTAACACTGAACTCCATTTTGAACATATAATCTCAAACAGTGGCCTTAACCTAAAATAGGTTGCTCTCACCAAAGCGGTTATCGGTAGGTTTCAAATTCCTTTGAAGACATAGTTCATTGATTCAACAACATTGTCAACCCACCCAAATCTAACAACATCACCATACCAGATACACCCAACAACCAATCAAACATGATTACGAACTCACATACACCTAACCACGCAACCAATTCAAGCCACACACCCAAACATAAAAATCAAGGGCATAACCAATACCACCAACAACCATATACCGCCACCATATCTTACTATAGCCCCGATGAGGCATGCGATTTCACCCCATCCTACCATAACACCCAACCAATGGACACCTAAACATCACACCACCAAAGCACTCAAACATCACATCGCCAAAGCACCAAACTAACACATGCCTTTCAAACACCACAAGAACCATTGCTTCGTTTACTAAACGATACAACGTCCTAATTCAACCTACCAATCCACCCACACGTAACCTAACTAGCATGACCCAACTACGGCAACATGGTCACTGAACTCAATTACGGCAGCGCCAACTACTGGGGAGATATGATCAAAGATTTGTTAGATGACACTAATATCACATGAACCTCGCATCAACCACCTTTGCCTCAGGTGAATAATAGGAGACCCTAAACACCTCCGGAAAATTGTGGGAGACCTCGAAGGCAAGCAAATGCATCGGGATGTGGACCGGCGAACGTTACAATCGAACGAGTCATTAAATTTCTCTCTAATCATTGCGTAATTCTATTTGATGGAATAATTTATATTTTATTTTTTATTAAACATTTTATTTATAATTATTTTGTTGTTAAAATAATTATATAAAAAATCAAAACAACACACTAGCCACCGACTATGGCAAATGCTCTTAAAGAATGCATGCATGCGCCATAGATAGTGGCATGACACATGAGCATGCGCCACAGACTATGGTGCCTTAGATCAAAGAGCGCATGCGCCACAAACAATAACATTTTTTCTTGAATTTTTTTAAAATATTTTTTTTTTTTTTTTTGAAAAAACCACATAAAAATCAGATTCATTAATATAGCTCTATTGAAAATTGTATAACATTATTTCTAGGAGCTCAGATTTAAAACCACAATTTTAAAATAAAAAAAAAAGGAAAAATCTATTTAGCTTCTCATTGGAGCATCTTATTTCACCATTAAAGCATTGGAGCGTCTCATTCAGAAACAAATAGTAACTTGCAATACATTTAAGTAAGAATGAATATAGATGAGAATAATTTAGATTTGACAGAATTAAACTTTGTAAAACTTAAATTTAGCTTAGTAAAAGAAGTTAAGTGCTAAGTATGAGATTTTTTATTATGTCTTATTTTTTACATTTAAGCTTAAGTTTTTGACCGTTTGGTTGGTATAGCCGGTTACTTTTGTTAGCACATTAAAGTTTATTTTTAATCAACGAAATTTTTTTATTAATTCAAAAAGTAATATCCAACTCAAAATTTCAAAACAAAAATTAAAGCCTGAACTTCTATATACTATCATATTTATAATTTTTTCTTCAATTTTCTGTGTATATACATTATTTCTAAAACACGTGTCGTTTCTAAATTTTCAACATCATAGATTATTGTATTACATAAAAAATATTTATTTGTAGGTTTCAATCATTTATTTATATTTATATTTATATATTAATTAATTAATATGAATAAGATGTTGATATTTTATATCAATAATTTTTAAATGTGTGTGTATTTTTAAATAGACTAATATATTAATAAATTATATTATATTTAAAAAATAATAATATGTATTAAGTAATCACTTTTGTATAAAAAAATTATAAAAGATTTTATAATATTATATTTTATTAATTATATGGAAAAATAAATTTAAATAATTAAAAGAAGATAATAATAAATATTTAAAGATATAATATTTTAAGATATTGAAGGATAGATTTACAACCTTATGTCACTTGGAACGTTCCCATATTTATTAACAATACGATAAATACAGGCCAATATTAGCCAAAGCTGGCACATATAACCACCAAATTAAATACTTATAATCATGCAGTGGATATATTATTATTTTATTTGCCACGAGATAATCATCCCAAAATAAAATAATACGCAAAAGATGTATTTTCACATGTTACAAATCATCGAAACAAAAAATATTATTTTTCTTCACATCTTAACCACTATAAATAGTAAGCACTCCCATAGTTACAAGACACACAAGCTTTTCTTTCATTTGTCATAGTTTTAAGCATCCAATTAATCAAGATGACTTCATTTCTGTTTGGTAAAGGTTCAAAACTGAAGGGAACTGTAGTGTTGATGCAAAAGAATGTTTTGGACATTAATGAGCTCACTGCAGCTCAAAGCCCTGGCGGTATCATCGGTGGCACCATTGGTGCCATCGGTGGTATCGCTGGCTCTATAATTGATACTGCCACGTCTTTCTTGGGTCGCTCTGTGTCTCTTAGGTTGATCAGTGGTACCAGTGCCGATGGTAATAATTTTTTAACTCACTCTATTTCATACTTATGTAATAGTGGTTTTAGTTTTAATTTGTTAATATATTTTTTTAGCAAGTGGAAAGGGAAAAGTGTCAAAAGAGGCATTCTTGGAAGGTATTCTTACCTCCATACCAACGTTGGGAGACAGACAATCTGCTTTCAGAATTCATTTTGAATGGGACAGTAACATGGGAACTCCAGGAGCTTTTTATATTGACAATTTTATGCAAGGTGGTGAATTCTTCCTTGTAAGTTTGACACTTGATGATGTTCCCAACGTTGGAAGCATCAAATTTGCTTGCAACTCATGGGTTTACAATTCTAAAAAATACAAAACCGACCGCATTTTCTTCGCCAACAAGGTAACGAATGAGATATAATTTATTTCTCTCATGTACAAATTTTAAAATTTTTTTGCTCATACATAACTTTTAATCTCGTAAATTTATGTAGACATATCTTCCAAGTGACACTCCGGCTCCATTAGTATACTACAGACAAGAAGAGTTGAAGACTTTAAGAGGAGACGGAACTGGAGAGCGTAAAGAATGGGATAGAATATATGATTATGATGTTTACAATGATTTGGGAGCACCTGACCAAAAGGCTACCTTGGCTCGTCCAGTTCTTGGGGGATCAAGCACCTTGCCTTACCCGCGAAGGGGAAGAACCGGCCGAAAACCAACTAGAAAAGGTTAAGCCCTAAGCATTTGTATTTTTTCTTTCAATTCTTTTGTTGGTGAAGTCCTAAACCATATTTTGTTATATATGTGAATAGATCCTAAGAGTGAGAGTCGAAGTGACACTGTGTATCTTCCAAGGGATGAATCATTTGGTCACACGAAGTCGTCTGACTTTCTTATTTACATACTCAAATCGGCATCTCAAAATATCATACCTCAACTGAGATCTGTAGTTACATTACAACTCAATAACCCAGAGTTTAACACATTTGAAGACGTGCGCTCGCTTTATGATGGTGGAATTAAGCTTCCTACTGATATACTAAGCAAGATTAGCCCAATACCATTGTTCAAGGAACTTTTCCGATCTGACGGTGAATCAGCACTTAAATTTCCACCACCAAAAGTGATTCAAGGTATATATTAGTAACAATCTCCAATCATATACTTAGTTATATACTGAATCATATAAGGAAATATGATGGAGCTTTTGAAATTTTCTTATATGATTAGTGGATCATTCCGCATGGATGACTGATGAGGAATTTGCAAGGGAGATGATTGCTGGGGTGAATCCACACATCATCAAAAAAGTTCAGGTAAACTTAGTACTTTAATATTGGTTAATAAACTTTTGGAAATCAAAGACTAATATGTCTAATTTTTTTGCCATGTTTATAATCGTTTATTAACCTCATTGCTTGGTTAATGTAGAGTTTTCCAATAAAGAGCAAGCTAGATAGCCAACTCTATGGTGATAATACCAGCACAATAACCAAAGAACACTTGGAGCCAAACATGGGCGGAGTCACTGTAGAACAAGTAATTGATGAAACAATTCAACCTTCATTGAAAGGATAAGTTTTTTATTTAATAGTTTAAAATCAACAACACTAGCTAAATTTTATCTTGTGGCACAGGCTTACGAAACGAACAGACTGTTCGTACTAGATCACCACGATCCATTATTTCCATATTTGAGGAAAATAAATGCAACTGACACAAAAGCATATGCTACAAGAACAGTCCTTTTCTTGCAAGATAATGGAACTTTGAAGCCATTGGCTATTGAGCTGAGTACACCACATCCTGATGCTGATAGTTTCGGTCCTGTTAGTAAAGTTTACTTGCCTGCAAGTGAAGGTGTTGACGCTTCAATTTGGCTCCTTGCCAAGGCTTTCGTTGTTGTTAATGACTCGTGCTATCACCAACTTGTTAGCCATTGGTATGAATTTCATTTATAATGTTTATACAATCAAACATAACTTATCTATACATGAGTAATTTCATGAATAATTATCTACATGTGTGACAGGTTGAACACTCATGCTGTTGTTGAGCCATTCATCATAGCTACAAATAGGCATCTTAGTGTGGTTCACCCTATTCATAAACTTTTACTTCCACATTACCGTGACACAATGAACATCAATGCACTTGCTAGAAATGTGTTGGTCAATGCAGAGGGTATTATAGAATCAACATTCTTGTGGGGAAATTATGCTATGGAAATGTCTGCTACTGTTTACAAGGATTGGGTTTTCACTGACCAAGGACTACCTAATGATTTAATCAAAAGGTAACCTTACAAAACATTATATATCAAGTCAACCCGTTTGTTACGAAGATCTCAAAAATATATTTTGTATGCTAATGTTAACTTCTTTGCATGTTATATAGAGAAGTGGCTGTTAAGGATCCATCTGCTCCATACGGTATTCGTCTTTTGATAGAGGACTATCCTTATGCTTCTGATGGACTAGAGATATGGACTGCTATTAAGACATGGGTTGAAGAATATGTGAATTTCTACTACAAATCAGATGGAGCTATTGCACAAGATACTGAACTCCAAGCATTCTGGAAAGAAGTTGTAGAGGTAGGCCATGGTGACTTGAAGAATGCTACATGGTGGTTTAAGATGCAAACTCGCGCAGAGTTGATTGAAGCCTGCACTATCCTCATATGGATAGCTTCAGCACTTCATGCCGCTGTTAATTTCGGACAATATCCATACGGAGGATACATCCTTAACCGACCAACTAAGAGCAGAAGATTCATGCCTGAGAAGGGAACCTCTGAGTATGAGGATCTTGCTAAGAACTACGAGAAGGCGTATTTGAGGACAATCACACCAAAGAATGATACTCTTACCGACTTGACCATTATAGAGGTCTTGTCAAGGCATGCTTCTGATGAACAATACCTTGGAGAGAGAATTGAAGGTGATGATTGGACTTCTGATTCACAACCAAAAGAGGCTTTCAAGAGGTTTGGAAAGAAGTTGGCTGAAATTGAGCAAAAACTCACTCAAAGGAACAATGATGAGTCATTGAGAAACAGGTATGGGCCAGTGAAGATGCCATATACTTTACTTTATCCTTCTAGTGAGGAAGGATTGACTTGCAGAGGCATTCCCAATAGTATCTCTATCTAAAAGGGTCATGGATGTTGTGTTGCTGCTTTGAATAAAAGATGTGAGAAGGACTTCAATTCTCTCATTCTAGTCATGCTATTATGTATGTCTCTTTGTCTGTTTTAATGTTGTACTTTACATCAAATAAGAACTACTATGTCTGTTCTGTTGTACTTGTATGATATCATCTAATGCACTTTTAATGATTTTATGTCATGAATCTTGCGCTATATATAATATATCTACTATCTATATATCAACAAAAATATATATAGTAGCTTACAAATAAGCCCTTCTAAATTTTAATTATCTATCCAAACAATTGCTTTTAAGGGCCCTTTAAGTAATTAACAAAATGAACAGAAGTAACTGCAAGCTGCATTAAAGGATAGTTACAAAATATTTAGCAGAGAAACACGGTAATTTAAAAAAAGAATGAAATCCGGTGAAAGAAGTGAAATGTGGACTTTTTCACTGTTTTAGAAGAAGTGAAGAAATAGAGTTGTAGAGAAAAAAGAAGCAAGAGATGATACTTATGTTCAGTTTTTTAAGTGTGTAAATATTAGATTTTATTCATTAATTTTTAGATACTAATATTTGAAATTAAATTAATATAAAGAGGTTAAATTTAGAAACTAAATTGATAGTAAATGGGTTTTCATAGGTATGTTAGACTAAGAGGGATGGGCCTTCTCCTTTACTCTGTTTTCAATTCTATTATGTTTTTTTTCTTAAAATGTTTGTTAAGGTGTAAAAGAAGATTGTTAGAATTTAAAGAAGATTGTTTAGGGGTTGAAAGGTGAAGATAGGATTTATTGAGTGAGTTGAGTTGATGTTTGTAAACTAAAGAAGGGAGGTGGTCTGAGTGTTCGTGATTTCTATTTGGTTAATTTGGTCTTGCTTGGTAAGTGGCATTAGAGATTGCGATATTCTGATATAAGACATGTGACCCTACACGCAAGAGAGGGAGAGAGGAGTGAATTATTCTTCAAGTTTAAAAATATTTTTAAAAATGTTTTAATAAATTAGCAGCGGAAAGATAAATAAGCAGAAAATAAAGAGTTAAGGGTAAGAGAAGTAACACTAGGAATTTTAGAGGTTCGGCCGGAAAAAGAAGTGACTTAATCCTCTCTCCAAGATTTGATCTGAGAGTGTCCAATAATTCTTAAGAACTTTTAGTAAGTTGAACACCGGAACTCCTTTATACAAGAAAAAAATGAAGTTTCAAGCAAACTTCCAACTAAACAGCGAATATTGGAAAAAAGCGGCTAGTCTTTCTTCCAAATAGCATATTGAATTGGTCGATCTTCTTTCCAAACAACAACTTGAAAAGTTTAGTCCCCAAGCTAAAGCGAGATTTCTCACAGGCTTATCTCAAACTAAGGTGAGTTTTTGAATCAGGTTGACCACGAACCACTGAGATTTTAAATTAGACTTATCTCAAACCCAAAAAAGTTTTTGACCAGGATGAGCTTACAAATCGAACCGAGGTTTTTACTAGGATAACCACAAACTAAGTTGAGATTTTAAATCGGTTGATCTCAAACCAAAGAATGCTTTTGACTGGGCTGAGCTTACGAATTGAATATGTTGACTTATAATCTAAATCCCCAAACAAAAACTTTTAATGAGTTTAGCTTTTAATCCAAACAAACAATCCATATGGCTAAATTATTCAACCAAGGGAAAACAGTCTTTCGTAAATTCACAACAATGCCCTTTCTAGAATTACAAATATACCTCACTAAACAAAAAAATATCCTCGAAGTACTACAACTAAATTCAAGTGTGAGAAAGTTGAAAAATATTTTAGAGAAAGAGAGTGAGGTATAAAATAGAATACTTACAATTCTAGATGTTAAAATATAAAGGGAAGAACCTCTATTTATAGGCTAGAGGTTGACACAAAAAAGAAAATTTATTGGGTCAAGATTAATGTGCCAACAGATTAGCACCTTGCTCTAATATATTTGAAGGCCTCAAAATAAACGTTTAGGATGTTCAAAAAGGAAGGAATGGATATAAAGCCCTTTCCATTCATTAAGACATTGTCCCAAATGTGTGAGAATATTTTTTACACTAACCCAACTGATTGTGTATACGTGTCAATTGATTGAGCAATACAAATTTTATCCAAAATCATTCAGACAATTCCTAATTCAATGACACGACTCCAAAACATTTTTAGGAATAATTATTTGATAAAATAGGCTTAATAACATGTTTGTGTGTGTGTAATTTAGCCGTATAACTTTACGAAAAAGCCTTTATGCTTTTATAACATACTATTCACTCAGACGCGGCATGACAAACTTTCACACTTCATCTCTTTCACACTTTGAAGCTTCAAGACTTGTCAGACAATAAAATCTTTTAGACATTTTCTTGAGTTCTTATCGAAGACGAGGCTTGAGATTTTTTTCAGTTGAGTGTTATCATTAGAGGATGTTTGCAGTGATCATTAAATCCTACTTAGTCTGCTTGCATCTTTGACCAGTTGTTATGCTTGTATTTAGTTGTCATCATCAAAAACATGTTCATCGTTAAGAACATGAGAGCTTCCTTGATTACTTAACCTGCAAAACATGATTCCACATTTCCCTCCTTTTTGATGATGACAACACATCTCTCAATGAAGTGGTAAAAAAAATAAACAAAATACATTTGAAGTGGTTAAACTCCCCCTGAATTAAGTAGAGAGTATACTCTACTCTCCTTGAAAGTATATTTCTCCCCCTTTGTAAAAATAAAAATGGTGGGTAAAGATGCATTGTGAGAATTTAAATATGCAAACATAGGTACAATAGCATTTAGGAAAGGAAAAACATCACACTTTTATTAATTCAAATGTGCTGAAACTCAAAGTACAAAAAGCGTGAAATTGCAAAATAATGAAAAATAATAAAGAAAACACACTAAGATATATTAAGACACATAAGTGAGAGTATTTTACGTCTAAATTGTCATTAAATAATAAATTATGAGGTAGTAGTAATGGATATTTGATAAAGTGTCGGGTTATGAAATCGATCTTATCGTTTGTTGCATCAAGCTTCTTTATTATGACTTTGAGTAGTACTTCAGTCGAGAACAATTGAGGTATAATGCAGTCAAAATCCTCTAGATCTATAGAAATACATTGTTCTGTTAGAGTCCATGTTCTTTCCACAATGATGAAATATTATGTTAGAGTTCATGTTCTTTCCATTATAGGAATACATTTGTCGTGCAGGATGTTGCGGTATGTGGTCCAACATCTGAAACTCCGTTTTTTTTTCTCCGAAGGAACAAACTTCTTAGGATTACTTATGTGCTTCTTGCTCATGGACCTGGGTCAAACCCTATTATCTTCAAGTTTTTGCATTTTCCCAACTTCCAATATTTTATCCAACATATCAGACCCATTGTTCAGCATACATATAGATTTTGTCATGTTTTTCAACTTGGAGTTTAATAGGGCTACTTCTTCTTCTAGATCAGTGACGGTAGTAACTTGTTTCACCTTCTCTTGTAGGAGACCGTTTATAGTTGTATTTTGTTTTTTTCACTTTCATGCAAGCTTCCTCCCACTTGGTGAGAAAAAGTATGTAATTAGCAGCTAACTCCTCATTCGTCATGCCTTCATCACTGATCTCACTTACTGCCTCGTATTTTCCAAAGTAAGCTATCACATTGTTGGCATTTTCTCCCTCACTTTCATTATCAGGGTCAGACTATATGATGGATAGCCCTTTTTTTTCTATTTATTTAGAAAGGTAGGACAATTTGCTTTAATGTATCCAAAACCTTCACATTCAAAGCACTGGGTACCCTTGATCGAATTGGGTTTGTCTTCACTCTTACCTTTGTCCTAGGGGCTGATTTTGGGTCTCTTGTCCTAAACATTTGACCTCCATTTTCTATTCAAATTCTTCAAGGATTGGTTGAAAATTTTCCCAAGAAGAGCTATAACATCCCATAGCCTCTTTTCTTTATCGCCTTGATCTTCTCTAGAGTTGGAAATAAAGGTTATACCTTTGTTCTTCTTCTCTTACCTTTCATTGATGAACATCTTAAGAGTTTGCAGGGAACCAATTAGTTCATCTACCTTAATACTACTTACTTATTTTTTCAATTTTGTTTAACTATTTAGTTACATTCACCGTGTTTGTATAGAATTAAATAAATTGAATACTTATGAATTCTTAGATCCATATAGTATTTGATTTACAAATAATACTCCAAAATTGATTGAAACATACATATCATCACAGATAAGTGGGGGAAAACTGTTATTTAGAACCATTTATCCATGAGTGAGTAATTTTAAAAATGTGGGTTCTCTATTATATTTAGTTTTCATGTTTTACCAAATACTAATTATATATGCTTGTGTTCATTCAGAAATCATTCTCAATTGATCATCATATCTCTTCGGACTCATATGGTAACTACACTATGTTCCTTACACTATCCATTTGAACCTAAGATGCAACAAATTATTTCTAGGCAAGTTCATGTTTATGATACTTTCAGTAATATTTTCTTTGACTTAGTAATTAGTTTAGCGTGTATTATTTTAAAATCATTTTCAATATACAGGGTTGTAGAGTGATACTATATTATGAACAACTATAGAAAAAACTCGTACTTTGTATACCTTCGGTAAGCGGATTACTTGGACATTCATTTATATATATAATTACATGTATGTGTGGTTATATATTCATGAAATGTTTAAATTTGTAGACGAGAAAACAAAAAAGGGATATGAGTGTGGATATTATGTCATGAAACACATGTTAAACATTGTCTCTGTCGACATTGTCAATTCTTGGGATGAGATATATATTATGTCATGAAATGTTTACAATAACATGTTAATGTTTAAGCCTAAAAGAAACTACATTGGAATAATCTAGAAACAGGGATGCCTGATAAATCACCCTTAAGCAAGGGTTCAATGGATGTGGGATAAGAATCAAAAAAGCAAATGCCTTTAGAATGATGGATTCCTTAGTTTGTAAGTACATCAACACATA